TCCGGAGCAGTATTGATCCTTTTGAACTTTTTTTTTCTTCTTCTTTAGTGTAAACGGACCGCGTTGAGATTTAAAAGGGGGCGACAGAGGGACTTGCGATTGGTTATTGTCCGGGCTTCAAAAACAAAACAAACCCACCAATCCTCTCCCCCCCAAACAAAACAAGTGCTGCTAAATGCAGGTCTCTCTGATGAAAACCTAGTGATTCAGGCGGCCCTGGCTTAGTAACTCTTGTGGACAGACCCCAGACACCCACTGATACCTTAGGTATCTGCAGATCTCTGCAGAATGGGAATTTAGCTCCCAAGTTAGGGTAGGTTTTTCTTGGATTGGGCACTTTCAGACAAGTGTGCCTGTGTTTTTAACAGGTTTCTGAGAAGAATCAGTGGGGAGAAATTGTTGAAGAGTTCAACTTTCCCAGAAGTTGTTCTAACGCTGCCTTTGCTTTAAAACAGTATTACTTGCGGTGAGTAGTGGTGACTTTTCCACAGTATTTGGAAATGAGGGACTTAAGGGCGATTAAACAACAACAAAATTTATGCTCTAAACAATTTCCAACCCCTTGGTAATTTCAGTCTGAGAAGCATTGACTGTCAAAAAAGGGAGATGATAGGAGGCTGAAGTTTTCCTCACCTTAAAACACGGCCATTTACATTTTCCATACAAAGTCATTACAGGTGACAACCCATGTCCTGTCTTGTAAACATTCTTTTGTGACATTGTTATTGACTGCTTGATAGTCACTGAGGGCCAGAAAAGATGATGCTTAGTAAAAGTCTTAAGATACTTAATGAAACTTTGTAACCTGTGGGAAGATTTGTCTTTCTTCTTTTTCTTCTTTGGAAACTCCTTAACCCTCTACAATTCTGGTTTTCGGAATTTCTTTTTTTAAAGGAAAAGTATTGGAACTGTTATTCAGTGCGTTTTCAATGGAATATTTTTACATAAATAATACAATGTAGATACATTGGTTGACCAGGGTTACTTTTTTGGACTCTTGTTACTGAATTTCTGAGAAATTTGAAAATATTCAGCATCTTTAGGAAAATGGGGGTGGTGTGAAGCCAGGTACTATGGTTGGGATTTTCTTCCATTTTCCCTTGCATTTTGACTGCTTACTCAAAAAAGTAAACTTCTTACTGAGTTGGTATATGCTTTAGTCTAGATAATGTATTTTGTGACTTTTAGGATTTTTTTTTCCTCCTAGATTTCCTTTTATAGATCCTTTCATATTGTACTTTGTTTTGGAGTCGGTATTTGTATTTGATTACCCAGTGTTCTTAGTAATTTAAAATTAAAATAATGATCTCAATAGTTCCTTCTAATAAGTATTGGTAATGGTGATATCATAAGATAGCCTTTATTTCATTTTTGTAAAATGTAGCTTCTGTATAATTTGAGTCTTGTATTGCTCCAAATGCACTAGTTACTCTGTATAGCGCTCAGGATTCTGACATAGGAAACAGGGTAATTGCACAGGTGTACTTCCTATTGGCTGCCTTAGATTGACTTCAGACTTGACGCTGAAGAGTTCACAGATCTTGTCAGTTACTAGTTCTATATGAACTCAAGAAAATACCAGGTGTGTGTGTGTGTGTGTGTGTGTGTGTGTGTGTGTGTGTGTGTGAGTGTGTATACATGTCAGAGTATCTTTTAAATAAAAGAATAAATTAAAAACAGCTTCCCAAGCCGTTGATTTAGTAATAAAATGAGAAATAAGAACTTAATACTTATAGTGATAGTCACTTGATTATTTCTGGTTTGGATAGTAAGAGGATCTGAGAGAATCATGCTAATACATGCTAGGGCTTTGTGCTAATCAATTTAAAACATTTGTATATTTAAATTGTATATTTTAAAGTTATGCCTAGTATTTTTTAAGTTTCTAGATTAAATTTCTGTGTTCAATTCTGAATGGTATATGTGACTGGTGAGATGTGTATTTTTCTGTAAAATTTGCATTCCTATTAACAAACAGCATAATTAATGAAATACTTGGACTTCTTTTCTTTTACAAAGTTTATTTATAAGTATTTTGTTTCTTGCTGTCTTTTCTATCTTGGGATTATGCCAAATAGTAATTGTACTTATAGGTAGTCTTTTTTAACCAGATACTTTCAAAGTTGTTTTAAGTATTTACATTGTTCTTAGGTCAACTTGGGCCTTATGTTCTTATTAGAAGCTGCTTTAAACTATGTCCTTAGCTAAACTTGTGTTCCTCCATATGTCACTCTCCAGGTTTGCTTTTGTAGGGCTGTAGCTAGGCTACTGAGAAAAAGTTAAAGCATTTTGTTTTGGAAAATAAAACCAAGTGAAGATTTGCATGACTTGCAAAGAAATAGGATGATCAAAAATTGGGTACTACCAACCTTGATAGAATTTTCCCTAGTGATATATTCTACAATTAGAGGATATGTGTTGTGTTATACACTTTCCTCTAAAAAAACCGAATTGGCAGACCAGATGCCAAACTCTAATAGTAATTCTCTTAGTTAACCATAACAGTGCCTTCTCAGTAAGAAATGGTAATGAAGTGATTGATAAGTTAGCTCTGCTCTATCTGATTTAATACCAGGGTTTCTGAGAAAGAAGATCATGCCTTGTGTTTTGGTGGGTTTCTTTTGTTTTCAGCTATGTACTATTCTCTCCAAGTCATAAATTGGAGAGATTGACTTCAGATTTGATGCTGAAGAGTTCACAGAACTTGGCAGTTACTGAGGTCCATAGGAACTCTAGAAAATAATAAGGCATGGGTATGGTGTGTGTGTGTGTGTGTGTGTGTGTGTGTGTGTGTGAGAGAGAGAGAGAGAAATAGAGAGAGAGAGAGAGAGAGAGAGAGGTGTGGGGGGAGCGCATATGAATAAAAGGGTAAATAAAAAGCTTCCCAAGCTGTTGATTTAGTATGAGTGAGAAATAAGAACTTAATTCTTAGAGTGATAGTCTACATAATATTTAATTGGAGCTTTTTCATTGGACATACTGTGAGACTGTCATTGCTATTGTTAGCTCTCTTCACAAGTTTCATACTTCCCTACATTCCCCTGTAGTTGTACAGTTAATTGAATGGACAGCTGTTAGACTAGTGTTGTTTGATATAGCTACATACTATTACAGACAAGTAAGATCAGACTATGTTAGTCATGCACATGTCCTAACAGCTCTATGTTCCTTTTGCTACAAATATAGCCATTAAGTATAGAGACATTGTAGTCTGCCAAAAGTTAGGTTAAATCTATCAAATACACATTCATTCAACTTTGGATTATTTACTAAAAGATTCTCAGTCTAAAATTGAATGTGCAGTTGATTATTTAACACTAATATTTAATTTTTAAAAATGTAGGTGCCTGCTGACAGTGTATAAAAGTATTATGTTATATTTAAAATTACATTTTAATCAGGTCTTAAATGCTTGAAACCTCTTTTCCATTTAGCACCTTTCTTGGCATATTCATCTCAGTGTGTTCCACAAATAGTTGTTGTTAGACTGTCTATATAAGTAAGAAAGAATATATACATTCTGTATATGAAGAAACTCAAATATCAAAAAGTTGTATTATATGTGCTTAGTAAAATTTATGCTACTATGGTTTCAGTTTATTATTCACAAATGGGCTAAATATATTAAAGTATAATTGGAAGGTGCAAGTATATCTATGAACAGTGTAATACTTATTTACTTGATGAATTTTATTTTACTTATTTTACTTTTTGCCCATTTTGGTACTGAGATTTAGGAACAATTTAACTATTGCTTCCTAAATCTTAGGAATTTACTTGGATTAACAATTTGAAGTTTTAGCTGGGTGTGGTGGCACATGCCTTTAGTCCCAGCACTCAGGAGGCAGATCTCTGAGTTTGAGGTCATCTTGGTCTACAGAGTGAGTTCCAGAACAGCTGGCTCTACACAGAGAAACCCTGGCTTGGGGGCGGGGGGAGAAGAAGAGTTTGAAGTTTTGCTATAAGGTTTAAGTAAACATTTAATCTGAGAATTTTTTTATAGACACCCAGAATGCAGCTAATATTATAGTGCAGCTGTAACTTACCTTGATGTGTTCTTTATAAAACTTGGAAATTTTAGAACTGTCTTAGACATTGAAATTTTATTGTAGAAAACTCCATGTTTCTGTTTTTCTTGTGTTTGAACCTGCAGTATTGCTTCTTTTTGTATGCATGTGCTTGGGAGATAATTGGGAGCTTGGGTAGAATTCTATTCACAGTAGTACCTTGGGAGTCACATTGTGAATTCTGTTTTTTGGTTTTTTTTTTGTTTTGTTTTGTTTTCTTGGTAGGTAAAAGTCCTTTATTTGCATGAGTAGTTGTGTTCCTAGCAGTTAACTTTTATCAGTTAAATGACATGAATGCATTTAGGATTGTCAGCTAGTGTCTGCCATGTAGGTCAGTGAGGAAGCCATTTATGAATCACTTGTGGTAAAGTGGAAATATTCAATATTATTCAGTAAGTGAATAAAGTAACAATGGGTTTGTAATTGCTAAACAGCTGAATAAATAGATTATTCCTAGTCAAGAAAGTAATAAAATAATAATGGGGACAGGGAGGACAACTGTGTCTTAGTAACTTACTCATGTGAGGATTTCAAGTTTAATTTTATAAGTTGTGTCCTTTTGTTTTGAACAAACCTGAGTGATGTCTTATGGCATTATGTTACATTTCTGAAAGGTGTGGAGACTTGTGGAAGTAGAAGTAGAAAGTGAATGAAGGAAGTTTAAAACCTGATCAAACTCAGGTTAATGTCAGCTCTCAAAATCCATGTCGTTAAGCAGCATACACTTGCTCACCCTAGAGTCAGTCAGTTTACTTTCCTAGATAGATAGTTGACCCTAGTTACAAGTGAATTCATAAGACTCCTCCCCCACCCCTGCCTCCAGGATGCTGCAAGGCAAGAGCTCTACCACTGGGCTATATATATCCTTAGCCCACCTAAGTTGCACATAGGCATTGTCATTGAAGTTTGAGGCCTCAGCTGTGAAGGAGAGGATTGTAGTTCAGATTGGAAGCAACTCTTCATAAGAGCACCTCGACGGAACAGGCGTTTTCATGGGTACTTTACAGGAGACTCCAGAGTGGGTTACTTGTAAACTTGAAGGGGACAAGGAAAGACATTTTAATTCATCAACATGCAGACACCTAGTGTATAAATTTAGGCAAACTATTTTTGAAAGTTTTTTTCTTTTGTAAAGGCTATTTATTGTGCTTTTTTTCCCCCAGTCCTACTAGAGATTCATGATAAAACAGGTTTGTCAAGAGTTGAGGGGGGCATGTGGCCTGAGAGGGTGAGAGCCGGTAGATTCCCTCTCTGCCTCCACCTCCATCCCAATATTCTTTAATATTCATAGTCTAAGCAGAAACTTATATTTGTGTATTATAAAACACCAGTGTTCTGAAATATAGTATGTGCCCTCTTAGAAAAGGTCAAATGATTTTGAGTCATAAATGTAAAGTTG